TAGATCCTCCCATGCTATGTAACATATCAGGCAGCTATGAACCAAACCTTCATGAGCAAACCAATACAAAAAAATCAATTTTCAGCTGTGTCTTAAGTAATTGTCTTGGTGTGTCCATCTTGACAATTTCTCTACTCAATAAGTTTTTCTCTAGTGGGTTTAGCAAATTATATACATTGTTGAATAAATGATTTCCCAGTTTCTAAGAATAATAACTGTAGGTTTCATGTTTGTGGTTCAGATGAAAGACAAACATTTGGGATCAACCATAAGAGACATAAATAATTTCTTCAGACGCTTATCTAATTAATTGCATTTCAGTTTAACATCTCTAAAATTTGAACTGCCATTGTTCTGTTAATTTAGATAAAAGGAAATCTTGAGTGCTTAAATGTGACACTTGGAACTGAAAATTCAATGCTCTCTGTCTTTCTGTGTATGCGCATATTTGTGATGTTCTGAATATTCAGCTTTCATGTAACTGAATCTCACCCTGATAAGAAATTACATTGCTTTTTTCATGTTCAATGTATATCCGACATCGGTGAATGACAAAGTGATCCTCACTGTTCTCCTTTATGTAAATTCTGGCAGCTAGTAAGCAGTTGACATATTGACAAAGGCTGGCTGGTTTATTCTTACGGAATTTCACAATAAAATCTTAACTTACAGCCAAATATGTGGAGCAAATGTATATCATTCTGTTCTATCTTCAGCAAAACGTCACCTTCGAAGCCTGATATTTCAAGGGCAAGAGCCCAGATCTTATAAGCAACAATTATAAACTAAAATAAACTGATTAGGTCTCTGCTTTGAAAATTAACTGTATGAAACAAAACATGAGATATATAAGCAAACACACTTAGGAACCAGGCAATGAATTAAGAGAAGTGTGATAAATTGTAGCTATAAATGTAGGTCAGACATAATTTTCATGAGTTCAAAAGCCCATATCTGTATCAAATAAATCAACCTGAGAATATTCCAACTATCTTGAATAAGTAGAAAATATTCTTTGTCCTTTTCTTTTTAATGATTCTCCACTTCTATTATTTATGCTTTCCGTCTTTTAGAACCCTTCTGTTGGATTTTTTTAACCCTTTCTCTCTCTCTCTCTCTCTCTCTCTCTCTCTCTCTCTCTCTCTCTCTCTCTCTCTCTCTGTGTGTGTGTGTGTGTGTGTGTGTGTGTGTGTGTGAGAGAGAGAGAGAGAGAGAGAGAGAGAGAGAGAGAGAGAGAGAGAGAGAGAGAGAGAGAGAGAGAGAGAGAGAGAGAGAGAGAGAGAGAGAGAGAAAAAAATTATA